GGTGTGGGTGGGTGTGTGGGTGGGTGGGTGTGGGTGTGGGTGTGGGTGTGGGTGTGGGTGTGCTTGTGTGTAGGTGTGATTGGGGATTATGGATGTCGTTGGCACAAAGCATGGCATAGTGAAGAACGCATATCCCTGTTGACTAGACGCGTGCATCCGTTCGGCGTCGCTAATCAGCAGCTGCACCACAGGGCTTAGGAACAACCGGAAAAACGCTTCATGCCTACCTTTCTGCTTTCCCCTTCGTGCGCCACCAACTCACAGTCTGCTCCTGCACGCTCCCCATCTCTTTTCAATACCAAACAACTTACATGAGCAAAAGGATGAGCATCTTCACGCCGTACAATCGAACGCCCCAAAAGCCGACAACCTCCAATTCCGTCCCAGACCCTAACGATACAAGCACTTCCCCAACATGCCACTCTTCCCACATTCGTCTACAGCATCCGACGCCCGCGATGCTAAAGCAACACTCCTTGCCATCGCAGAAAAACTAGTGCCCCAGAGGCGCCCCCACGTTTGACAAAGCACGAATAATGCGTCACGGCCATCCCAGTGCTTTCCCGCTCGCGCAATACCAACTCACCGCCGGCTCCTGCCACGTGCTCAACACATCCCACTACCCAACATTGCTCCGACATTCGTCGACTCCACCCGAAGCCCTCAATGCTAGAGCAACAATCCTTGCCATGGCGTCGCCACAAAAGACGCCTGATACCTACAACACTGCTTAAAACCTCGCGCAAGCCCAACTCACTGTCTGCTCCTGCACGGTCGCCACTTCTCTCCAGTACCAAATACTGCTTGCACATTCGTCCAAGCTCCCCCACGCAAGCGATTCACCATGCAGCACTCCTAGCCAAGGTGCCCCCTAGACAAACGCATCATGCCCATCCCATTGCTTTCCCCCTCTCCCCCTCGCACTATTCCAACTCATGGTCTGCTCCTGCACGGTCGTCAACACATGCCCAGTACCCAACAATGTTTCCACTTTCCTGTACCACCTGATACCCTCTAAACGTCCAAGCAACACACCTCGCCATTGAGCTGTGCCCAAGGCCGCGACATGCCCATCCCACCGGAATCCTTCTCGCGCAAACCCAACTCACCGCCTGCTCCTGCACGTTCGCCAGTCTTCCCCAGTACCAAATACTGTTCGCACATTCGTCCACACACTGTGAAGCCCTCTGTGTTAAAGCAACACTTCTTGCCATGGTGCTCTGCTGGAAACGCGCCATTGTCATCCCACTGGTTTCGGCTTCGACCACGACCGACTCGCCCAACTCACGGTCTGCTCCTGCTCGTTGGAAAAACCATCGCCACCCGTCCACTGTTCCCACGTTCTTCTACAGCTGCAGACGCCCTCAAGGACAAAAG